CTCAGCTTCTCCTCGATTTCCACTGGAACAGTCGAGGTCCCGTCGAACCTGCCTCCCATATGTCCGACACCCCGAGGGCCCTGGTTCACGAGTGCGGCTCTCCTGACCCCGCCGTGCTCTAGGGAGAGATTGGCCCCCGCCCGCGGATCTGAGAGCTCAGCTTCTGACTTCCACTGGAATCGGTCGAGGGTTCCTGTCGAACCTGCCTCCCCTTGCCCAGCTCCCGAGGGCCCCGCTCCACGCGGGCGGCCCTCCGGACCCTGCCGTGCTCAGGTTCTCTCCTCGACTTCCACTGGAGCAGTCGAGGTCCTGTCGAGCCTGCCTCCCATTGCCCAGCTCCCGCGGGCCCCGCTCCACGCGGGCGGCCCTCTCCTGACCCCGCCGTGCTCGGGGAGAGATCGCCCCCCCCCCCCCCGCCCGCGGCGGCGGCGGCGGGGGCCCCGTCGATCTGCCGCGCGCGTCCGTGGCCGACGCGCGCTGCGGGACCTGTGGCCTCGGGCCTCGCCCGCTGCCGACCTGTGGCGTCCTGCCGGCGGCGCACGCTGCGGACGCCCACGGGCACAGACTTGGGGCGTTCCGACGCAGGGGGGAGGTAATTAGGAGGGGGAGGTAGAAGGGGGATGGGAGGAGGGGGAGGAGGAGGAGGAGGAAGAGGAGGAGGAGGAGGAGGAGAGGAGGAGGAGGAGGAGGGGGAGGAGGGGGAGGAGGAGGGGGGGAGGCGGAGGAGGAGGAGGAGGAGGAGGAGGAGGAGGAGGAGGAGGAGAGGAGGAGGAGGAGGAGGAGGAAGGAGGGGGAGGAGGAGGGGGAGGAGGGGAGGGAGGAGGAGGAGGAGGAGGAGGAGGAGGAGGAGGAGGAGGAGGAGGAGGAGGAGGAGGAGGAGGAGGAGGGAGGAGAGGGGGGAGGGGGAGGAGGAGGAGGACGAGGAGAGGAGGAGGAGGAGGAGGAGGAGGAGGAGGAGGAGGAGCTTGAGCTCGCTGAGCTGGTGGTGCCGCGGAGCTGCCGCGCCTGCCCCCGTCCGCCCCAGCGCGCTTCTCGGCCATCATGGGCCTCTGTACGAGCTCCTTGGTCACGTGCGTGACTTTCGCCTGGAGCTCGCGTTGTGCCGCCATCCAGCCTCGTCGCTGGCCTTCCTGCCTGACCTCGGCATCCTCGTCGAACTTGAGGGCTCCGAGGCAGGAATGATGACCACCGCCTGGAGGATCAATTTTAGCAGGCGGTGGATATGGACATATTCGGCCCCCCCCTGGGGGCCAATGTGTATATATACACATACATACACACATACATACATATTTGTATATATAGATATACATACACACATGTATGCATGTATGTATGTATGTATGTATGTATGTATGCATGCATGCATGTATGTATGTATGTATATATGTATGTATGTATGTATATATGTATGTATGTATGTATGTATGTATGTATGCATGTATGCATGTATGCATGTATGCATGTATGCATGTATGCATGCATGCATGCATGCATGCATGCATGCATGTATGTATGTATGTATGTATGTATGCATGTATGTATGTATGTATGTATGTATGTATGTATGTATGTATGTATGTATGTGCATATATATATATATATATGTATACGCACCGCCCGTCAGGGCACCGTGACGTCGGTTCCCAGGCGGTGGATATGGATAAATCCCCGCCTCGCAAAGGCGCCCCTGCAGTCCACCCGAATGAGGTCGCACTTCCCAGCCAGGAGGTCGAGCGGCCTTGATCGGGGGCGGCGGGGGTGAGCCGGGCAGGCCCTGCCCCTGGCTGGGCCACCAGGTGCTCGCGCGGCAGAGTGGCCTCGTCCAGCTGCTCCTTGAGCTCGGTTGTGCATTCCCTTTGCTCCCCCGGGGCCTGCCCCCACTTGTCTGACGGGTCGAGGGCCTTGGCGAGCTTGTCGATCAGGCTGCTGCTGTCTCGCAGGGGCGCGACCAGCTGCTGCTTGATCGGGCCTATGGGGCCACTAGCTTAGACGCCCTGGTCGGCCCGCTGCACCGCTTGATGAGGACGACGCTGCTCTTCTTCTCGGCGAGCTGCTGCGTGTGCTGGACTTTGTCGGCTGCCAGTGCCTCCACTAGGAGATCGCGAGCAGCATCGTTCAGGGCGGGAGGAGCAGCCAGTTGCCTCTTGTCGGGGCCCCTGGTCCAGCGGCCCCTCGGCTTCCCGGGGCTCCGTGAGGTCTCCCGCGTCCTTGGCTGGCCCTGGACGGCACGCAGTGCTGGCACCAGTCCCAGTGCTGGAGGGTCTCTGCGCGCCCGCAGCAACTGCAACGCCACGTGCTGGACCGTTCGGCGCCCCGCCAGGCCCACGGCTGCTGTCGCCACGGCGTTCGGTCCGCCGACGGATTGGTCTCCGAGGCTCCTGGCCAGGGCGCCATGGACTGCTGTCCGCGCTCAAGTGAGAACTAGCGTTCGCCTGGGTAGACCAGCGCGCGGCTCTGGTCAGGGCGAGCAGACCGAAGGATGAAAGCTGCCGCGGGTCACCGGTATCCACTTGTCCCATTGTGGAACACGTAGTCTTGATTTAGAGTGGCTTTAGCCCAAATGGCTTCTGCGGAAGAGGAGGAGGAGGGAGAGGAGGAGAGAGGGGGAGGAGGAGGAGGAGGAGGAGGAGAAGGAGGAGGAGGAGGAGGAGGAGGAGGAGGAGGAGGAGGAGGAGGAGGAGGAGGAGGAGGAGGAGATGGAGGAGGAGGAGGAGGCGGTGGATACTGGCGGCTACCACAGCGTTAAGGGTGGCTGGTCCCTGACTATGGTGGAAGGCCAACCCACCGACGGCCAACAGGAACCCGTGTCGATGAAAAATAGGACATTTGTTGTTGAAGCATGTTATAGACAACGGCATCGACAGGCGCAGTGTGGATCAGCAATGTGGAAAAGAGGAGGAGGAGGAGGAGGAGGAGGAGGAGGAGGAGGAGGAGGAGGAGGAGGAGGAGGAGGTCTTAACCGACTTTCGCGTCTGTCAAACCACGCGCTGCCGCTTGGTGCCCAAGTGCCCCGGCAGGACACCGTAATGCGCCATGTATGACTTCCACGCCATATTCGTCTCATTGCCAGTCGCGTTTGTCTTCGCATGCTGGATGGCCTGACTCCTGGTGGGGCAGATTTGAAGTCAACCAGTGGCTTCATGAACGCCCGTTGAGGTAACGCGATTGTTGAGTTGAAGGCGGATTGAGGAGGAGCGTAAAGTCCTTTGGGGGGCCGGCACAAGCATCTCGTGTAAGAGATCACACAATATGGCAGCAGGCTTTGCTTGCTGCTGGCACAGAACGCGCAGCAAGAGGCAGGGCGGGGGCGAGGAGGACAACGACGTGCGATATATAATGCACTGCAGCAGTCAACCACATGCCTGTGAGGCCTCGTTCGAAGCTCCGTTGAAAGCCACTCTTCGTCGCCACCTTGCAAGACAGTCTAGTCTTTCGGGCGCGACTGAGCGGTCATGGTTTAGGCCTAAGCGCTGATGGTCAAGTTTTGCAAAACTGATGTTGCGCCCGTGAAGAAAGTGTAATGCCTTTCGCAAGAGCTGCCCGTGTGGCCACAGTGTAGTTTCGCTGGCGATATACACTACGCAGAGCCATCTCTGACAAGGCAGCTGGGACATGTGTTTGTTGGGCTCTGGCACAGGATCGACCATTCGGTGGCATCATTATAGTGTGAGTATGATCAATATCGAAGACGCCTGCGGCGAATCACCGCGCCTGCGGCATTTCGGAAACGTCGATGCGGCCAAACGTTGGGCCAACATCTGGCCAAGCTATTGGACTATGTGCCCTCCTAGCCGTTATGGGACTCTTGTGGGCCTCTGAGGTGCTCTTGGGGAGACCTCTTAAGGACCGGTCGGGCGCCTCGGGGGGGCCTACTGGAAGCTTCTTTCGGGGGAGCGTAAGACCCAGGTTTGCCAGGACTCGGGTTCGCCATCGTTTTTTGACGACCGCGCTTCGGATTTTGACAAGGAGGAGTTTCGTGGGATGTCTGCAACGGGAGGCCTCGTCAAAATGCAGGCTCGGCCTCGTCATTTTTTTGACGATCTCGTCGGGGATTTCCGAGTCCCCTGTACCCAGGTCTTACGTCCTTGGCACAATCTGGCATGTGGGGCCAGTTCGTATTCCTCCCCCCGGGCCGAAAGCATGGAGCAGCATGTTGTTTTTTCCTCTGGCTGTGGAGCTCGGGGGACGTCATGTGCGGGCCGGCCAGGGGGCGCCGAAGAGGGCCCCGGAAACCCCGGCTCGGGCCCCTCGAATGATTCGGGTGCGGAAAAGAGGGGGGTGATGATTAGGGGGGGTGGATTTCATGGCGCGGGCCATGATTTTTCCTCAGATTTCATGGCGCCTCTTCTTATTTTATTACGTCCCAGGCCCCCCCGCTGGGCCGCGCACATGCCGCCGGTCATGATTTGCACCCCCCCCTCTTGGACACCCCCCTCTTGGCCGCTCCCGAATGATACTTACGAGTGCAGAGAGCTCGAACTGACTTGAAGACATTATGGGCCCTTCGTGCCTTCGGGCACGGTGGCGGATCTGCGCGCCAGGTTCATCGAGTGTCAACACAGATCCTTCGTTCCGCTCTCGCAGAGGATGCCTGGTGAGCGTGCAACTCAGACGTGCACTCGCTCGATTCGTTGCAAGCCGTGTTCTTCAGGCTGTAAGCTGCCGAGGCTATCGTGCAGCTCAAGTTCAGCATGCAGTCTACCCAGGTTTTCGCCAGACACATGATCGTTCCTATACCGCTCAAGCAAGACTTGACTACTGATGGGATGCGGCATTGCCACGGCTTTGCTGCAAACTTATGCCCAAACGCAATTGCCCGACCGCACCCCATGAAGTGGGTATACAGCAGAGGAGATACGACCGCAAATCTTTCCTTGTGAGTGACCCCGCGCGTGATGTCTACGTGCTCGCGGCCGCGCGCGAGCTCGTTCCACTACTCTGCACCAAGGTTTGCGCAGTGCGTACTCCCAGTCGTTGGGGGTGGACGGATTTTCAAGGTAGACTGGTTCGGAAGTTGTGCTGCAACAAGCCCATGCGAAAGTGCCACGCTTCACTGTTTGTTCGCGGGGTCGGAGGGAGGGGGGCGGGGCGGGGCCGGAGACGGAGCGACGGAGAGAAAACTAAAATGGAAGGGATAGTGAGGGATGGAGATGCGGACGGCCATATTGGGAGCGAGTGAATGAGAAGCTTATGGTCAGAGGGGGTAAGACAGCGATGGGAAGGTGGATGCGGTACGAGAAGACGATATGGATACGAGAAGACGATCAGTGGGCAGACGGGATGAAGCCAGGCATGGAACATCAGAAGGCTACGCAGATGTGTGTATATATGTATATATGTATGCAGAGAGAGAGAGAGACAGAAATAATGAGAGAGATATATATCGAATGAGAGAGAGAGAGAGAGAGAGAGAGACACCCACACGGCCAATGCTTTTTGTTCAAAGCGTGCGCCCCCGAGCTCTCGATCCCTTCCTGGGCACCCGTGCTTCGCCCAGGTCGTTCTTTGATGGCCCGCGGGCTAGAAACGCTCCCCGAACGCCGAACATGTTGAACACCATGTCGTGATGTTCTCAGGACGTTGGACACCTGGGCAGAGACGTGGTCCGGCACTCTCCAGCACATGGCCTTACGAGTGTGCGGCGGAGGAGATGGGGAGCTCATGGATAGGGACTGGGCCCGCCAATGCGCATTCCGACCCGGCCTCACTCCGTCCTGCCCCCCCTGCAGCCTCCGCGGCCTCGGCACCAGATCTGTCTGCGGTCTGGCGTCCACCGGGGCCAGGCGTGTCGGCCAGAGTCGGGAGCCTTGGGACGGGGGTCAGCGCAAACGGGGGCCAGCCAGGGCGCCAGCGGGACCCTGACCCAGGTTGGCGCGCAGGATCCTGCAGGATCTTGCAGGACCCCCCGTGCGCCACGTAGCTTGCATCACATCCATTTCGCCACGCATAGCTTCCACCACGTAGCTCGCACCACACACGTTGCAACACATAGTGTGTACCACATACGTTGACCACATGTGCTGCCCCACGCAGGATGCAAGACACATACCGACTGGGATTCGCGCTGGCTAGCATCTACATATACCCATCGGTGCATACACATGTACACACATATGTGTATATATATACACACATACATAATATATTACGTTTGCAGACACATGCGTCAATGCATCAGTAGAACAAATCGGCCGCGCCCGCCATCAGCTCAGACTTTGGCGTCGTGCCAAAAAGAGGACGCCCGATCTCGCAGAGTCTTTGGGGCCTCGGGGGGCCCGTCCTGGGCCCCTGGGGGCCTCAAAGACTCACGGCGCGAAGCTCACACAAGATGGAGCCATGAGATCCAGAGCCCCACGCATTAGACCAAACATCAAGGTGCCGCAGGGCTGGCGTGATTTAGGAAACAAGCCAGCACGCAATGAGGAAGAGGGAGGGGGGGGCGAGGGAGGACGACGAGGAGGAAGAGGAGGAGGAGGAAGAACAGGAGGAGGATGATCAGAGGAGGACTATATACCGATTCCGCTACTCAGCCCGCGTCACCACAGATCGCATCTTTGGAGAGGTCCTCGGCGTAGTGGTATCGGTACGTCTTGTTCTCCAAGAGGCGGATGAGGACGACGAGCAAGCGGAAGACAGCGACTTTCCCTTGAAGTTTTTGGGAGCTGTTTGTGTCGGTGGAAGAGACACGTCAGGATGTCGGAGGTCTGGGAAGAAGCCTCCCCCCATTTCGTTCTGGTCCACCCTTCTTTTCAGTAGCGTCACCCGCTTCGTTTCTGACCGCCCCCGCGCATTCTCGAGGCTGCACGCGCCAGGCGAGCCCATATGCTTCTCAGGATTGTGCCAGGAAGTCGGGCCTTGCCTCTTATTGGTCGGCCTTCTATTGGTCTCAGTCATCAGTGTAGTGCACGCCGATTTCTGGGCTACCGGACCGTCTGGTCGTTTGGGTCTGCGAGGATCAGAACACGGCCGCTTAGGATGCAACTCCTGGGAGGTTGATTTTAGCATCGGCGCTGGTATATTCGTGGTCGGAAGCCAGCCTAATTTGGCCTATTCCCGTTCTGTCCTGCTTACTCCCGCCTCATCTGGCTTCATCTGGCTCAACCTTGTGCCGAATCCGGCCCAATCCGGCTTAATGGCGCCTTCATTCGCAGGCGGTGTTTCTCCCTCAATCCCCGAGTTCCGCCCGAAAAGTTTGTTCGAAAACCCCACGGAGCTTGCCATAGGAGTCGACATGTCTTCTGTTGAATCCTGCCCTATCTGGCTTAATGGCGCCTTCATTGCGCTGAGTCGCTTGTCATCGTTCTTGCGAAGACCTCCCTGGAGCTTCTTTCCGAGGGCGGGCGCGCGGCCTGGCTGCGCGGTTGGGCGGGCGGGCCCTTCCACGGTCACGCGTGCCCCGAGCACCTGCCGGACGGGGCTACAGTGGGTCCGTGCGGCGTTGGCGCGCCGGCGACGCCGGCGAAGGCTTGCGAGATCGGATTCCGCGAGGCGGAAGCACCGATGGACACGGCAGCGCCACTGGACCCGACGGAATTCAACCTTGAACGATCGGGGCCGCGATCGATTCAGGGTTGAACGGTCGACGCGGTGGCAAGATCCTTTGCGCGTGCCGACGCCGACGAGCCTACCGTGGGACGAGGATAAATCCCTAGCGGAGCGTTCCAGGCGTTCCAGAGCCGCCAGATCTCAGAGGTTCTCGACTTACCCCTACCCGATTCTACCCTTGTCCGCCAGGAGGGGAAAAACACACAGACACAAGTAATCGTCGAGCCCCAGCAACAGATGGGAAAGCATGGCAAGTGGGGGGGGCAGACCCAAACCCATAAGGCATGGAAAAATATGGGGACTCCTGGGAGGTGTGTGTGTGTATTTCTCTGTGTGCTCCTGGGCCCCTTCAGTCCTGGCCTCGGCTCGCCACGCACTCGTGGGCGGCCTCTGGGGGAGGAGGAGGGGGAGGAGGAGGAGGAGGAGGAGGAGGAGGAGGAGGAGGAGGTGGGAGGAGGAGGGGGAGGAGGAGGAGGAGGTGGGAGGAGGAGGAGGAGGAGGAGGAGGAGGAGGAGGAGGAGGAGGTGGGGCAGCGCGGACCGCGGGCGAGCCGAGCCTGCGCCCAGCGCGCCCTCGCCCGCAGGTGCCTCGAGCTCGACAGCCCTCGCCCCGGCCCGCCTGCGGCGCCGCGGGTCGGCCCTGGCTGCCCGTTGGCTCGCCGATCCTCCTCCTCCTCCTCTCCTCCTCCTCCTCCTCCTCCTCCTCCTTCTCAACCTCCTCCTTCTCAACCTCCTCCGCCTCCTCCTCCTCCTCCGCCTCCTCGTCCTCCTCCTCCTTCTCAACCTCCTCCGCCCCCTCCTCCGCCTCCTCCACCTCCTACACACGGGTGTCATCACTAATCGATGCCCTAACTGTTTGAGTTACTTCCGAGATGTACACAACGCTCGCAAACATCTTAAGCATGCTTACGGACATGGTCGATGTGCTCTTGGCCGTGCTCACTTGTCTTGGGAACCAGATAAACGTGAGGAGCGGACATGTTCAATCTGCTCCGTAGTCTTTGACTCGAGTCTCCAGTTGCAGCGACACGTTCGTGACTCGCACCTCCCTCGGCCGCTACCGAGTCTACACCATGCCTGCTCTCCTGAAGGCGGGCACGCAGGGAGGATCTGGAAACCGAGACGGCAACCCGAAGGACTCCAAGAAGACGAATACGACGCATAAGAATATGCAAAACAAACATCGGAGGCCCTGAATTAAGTCCGCCAACGACCCGACAAACAAGGTGTTGTGCCTCATGATGAAGCTACTCTTGAGTCTCGCCCAGACAGCGAAACCTAGCAGGGGTGCTTCTCGACACGTTCGTCGTTTCCGCGGACCACGCCCTCGTCACCAACATGAGCCAGCAGACCTCTGCCTACGCCGAGCAGGTAAAGGCCGCGGGACAATATCATACTCTGGACACCCTAGACATATGGGCCGCGGGAGGTGTGATGAAAGCTCGAGTTGGATTCGGAGACGCAGTAGGAGCCAGGACGGCAAACGAGCTCGGCACGGCGTTCGGGAAGTACGGAGACTACTCAGTGCCACGGGAGTGCGAGCTCGTGCCGTTCTGCCGCCAGGACAGAATGTACCAGAAGGACTCCCGCTGCGCTCCTCCTGATCCGACGACGGGCGACGGCGACGGCGGCGGCGGCGACGGAGGCGACCACGAAGGCCGACCCCTGGCCGACCCCCCTGGCTGAGGTGTGCGCCCTGGGTGCCGGGCCCCAGCCTCCGCTGGTTTGGCGGCCAGGGCGGCCGCCGGGAGGGTGCCGCGGGAAGGTCACGATGGCCTTCAGAGACCCCATCTTTCGGAAGATGACAGTGGAGGCCATGATGCAGATCGAGGGGGTCAATAGGAAGCTCGGCAGGGCCCCCGCCTCGTTCCTGGAACGCGAGTTGCAGACCTTCCTGGAGACGCTTCCGAGCTGAGCGGGGCCCTGGCATATTCGGAGATCGAATGCCTAGATGCGAAGCCTTTCGCGAATGAGGGACGAGAGGGATTTCTGAGACATGTCGTGGGCCATTCTGAGGCCCCTGGTAGCATGCCCAGTCAGACCCCGCCCTCCTCGAGACCTCTGGCCTCCCCTCCCGTCATCTTGCACCCTGCCGGATCCCCGACGTGTGCGAACCAGCCTGCCCCCGCTCCGAGACCTCCGACCTCCGCCTTCCTGACCGACGCACACATAGCCACGGAACGTTTAGTTTGGCGTGGGATTTTCCCAAGGTCCACCCAGTGCGAAAATATGTTTACGAGTAGACGTGTTCTCCGAATGGTCCAAGAGATCGCGGACAAGACCTAGTTTCAAGCTCCTTGTGGCTACTTCATGCGTCAGTGGCTGCAGGGGCCAGGCTGGACCCACCTCGAGGCCCTAGCTGCGTCCTGTGCGTAGGACATGGTCTGTGTGCGAATCTCCTCCTCCTCCTCCTCCTCCTCCTCGGTGCCCCTCGGCTTCGCACGGCGCACCATGGCAAGTTCACGTCGCGTCGACCAGCGGCGACCCCGCCGCGGGTGTTCAACGTCGAGCGCCGCTGGCAACCGTAGCCGGTCGATGTGGAACGATCTGAAGTTTCGGGCGCGGCCGATCGTTCAAGGTTGAACAATTCCCGCGGTGTCAGAAACCAAGGCCGAAGTCGGCACGGCACGAACCTGCCGTGTTCCGAGACATGCTCGCGTCGCGAAAAAGTCAGGATGGGGAGGAGGTTTTGCGCCGTTGTCGGCCTCTGGGGGCTCACCGCGCCCCAGTCCCGGGGAGAGGGTCGAGGTTTGGGGTACTGCCCACGGATGCCTGGGTTTGACGATCGCAAGTTTGTGATGTGGCGGGTTGGAGGGGCTCGCCAGGTGCAGCGCACGTCAAGCGAGGAGTCGTTTTGGGGAGTCGAACGGGGTCGCGGTTACGACGCGCGCCAAGGCCTGTTGGCCAGGAGCTGGGAGACGTAGTCTCTCGGGAGTCCTTCGAAGGCCCCGAGGCTTGCGAGCCCCTCTCCATGGAACGTCTGTCTTGGGGTACGTCTGGTCTCCCCCAGATCTGGCAACACTCGTTCTGAAAGCTCGCTCGGTGAGCTCCTGGCGGCCACGCCGCCTCGTCGGTCTGGCCTGAGCATAGCAGGCCTTTGCCTCCCGTCACCCTCTTCCTCCCTCTCATGCCCCCTTCTGTGCCCCCCACGTTCCATTCTTGTCTTCTCCCGTGCGGCCCCATCGAGGCTCAGCCGAGGCGCTGAGCCAGGGACCGCGTGGGGTTCATAAAGTGCTTCTGGCTCTTGAGCCTTTGCAGAGCTTTTCCCAGCCCTCTTGCGTTGGGTTATCGGCTTGAACAGGGCAGTGCGGCCGTGACCCCGTCCTCCTCTTCCCGCCTCCCTCCTCCTCTTTTCCCTGTTCCTCCCCTCCCTTCCCTTCTACCTGGCGTGTACCTGCCGCCCAGCTTGCCTCTTACCTCGCTGTCCTCCCTGGGGGTCCGCGGACTGCAAAACTGTCGCCGCTTTCGTGGGCTGCTGGGGGGTCCAGCGGAGCGGCGTCCTTTCCAGGTGAGATGGGACCTCGCCGTCGCTGGGGGCTGCGAACTGCAAAACTGTCGCCACCAATATGCAGCCAGGACACGGGTGAGAGCACGGCCATGTGCACCTTAGTGTGCTTTGTACCAGGGGTCCTGGTTGTCCGGACCAAGCATGTAGCCAGCATGGAGGCGAGAGCACGATTCCATAATTTTGGGTGTGGAAGTTCCAATGCCAGACAGGGCGGTGTAGGGCTCCCCGTCCCCCCTTGTGGGGTTCTCTTGGGGTCCTTTACTTTTTACAGGGCCCTTTTTAGCGACACGCTATTCGCGGAGATAAACAGGCCCTTCAGAAAAAGAGGGGGACTCGGGGATCCAGCCTCGGGGGGCTATTCGAACGCACCCCAGTCGAGGATGCACGCCCCCCATCGTGCATCCCGTCGAGTTGCGCTCTGTTCGTTATGGAAACTCCCCACACACAGTCGGGGACAGGGGCCTCCTTCTTCTCTTCCTCCGCCTCCTTCTCCTCCTCGTCCCCCTCCTCCTCCTCCTCTTCCTCCTCCTCCTCCTCCTCCTCCTCCTCCTCCTCCTCCCCCTCCCTCCTCCTCCTCCCTCCTACTCCTCCTCCTCCTCCTCCTCCTCCTCCTCCTCCTCCTCCTCCTCCTCCTCCTCCTCCTCCTCCTCCTCCCCCTCCTAGTTGCCAGAGGTCCCGACCCCTTCCCCCGGGGGCCGATCTTCCCTCCTGGGTCGTTCTCTGACAGTCCCTCCGCCGCAAACATATCTACGGCAGGTTCGCGCCGTGTCGACCGGCGGCGACCCCGCCGCTCGCATTCCACGTTGAACGCCGCCGGCAACCCAGAATCAGTCGATGCTGAACGATCGGTCGTTTTGGAAGCGGCCGATCGTTCAAGGTTGAACGATCCCCGCGGTGTCAGAAACCAACGCCCGGGTCGACACGACACGAACTTGCCGTCCACAGACGCCCTCCAATGGATTGCTCCTGGGCCTCGGGGCAGGCTGGCGGTGTAGAAATCACCACTGCGAGCCAGCGACTCTCTACACCGCCGCCCTCCCTGAAGTCGGTTATAGCCAGGACCCCAGGTAAGGAGACCTGGTAAGTAGTAGGGCCCTGGAGCCCCTAAATTGGCCAGAGTCACTAAACCAGGTCTGCCGTAGCTGGTGTTTTTTCGGGTGACGGCAGTTCCGGTTAGTGGCACGGGGCGGGGGGGGGGGGCGTCCCCCAGTACGCACCACTAAGCCAGGCCCCACTGAACCCAGCTCTGCCAACGCCCGATGAAGGCACATGCAGAATTCGTCGGAGGGTCTCTCTGTGTACATGTTCGCGGCTTGGTCCCAGGGCCCGGTGAAAGCCCCCTCGGCGGCCGCAGATTGCCAGTCATGTTCCACGACTCGTGGAGGCATACATTTCGTACCATGGCTCGGGTCTCCGGCGGCCGTTCGGGTCGATGCGGGCACCCCAGGAGCGCTCTCGGCGAGGCGCGGCTGCGGCAGAGCATCCCGAGTCTGGAAAGCTTGCAGAGGAAAGTGTCCCGAACCCCCGACGGTCGTCCTTTCGCGGACGAGATGAAGCGGTATGATAAGTATATATATATACATATATATATATATATAGGTATATAGGTATATATGTATATATATATATTGCCCGCCATCGGGGACGCCTGCCACAGGGTGGCTGGACAGTCTACCCCGACGTGCCACCGCAGCGGTACAAACTTTCCAGCCGCCCTGGGACGGGCGCACCCGACGGCGAAACAGTTTAGTTTTGTACAGCTTTTCGTCCGTCAAGTCCTCCCCTTCCGATGTCGACGTTCGGCGTCTGCGTCGAACCTTGGCACGTGTGGCACTCGAGGATTTTTGCCACAACCTCGAGGTTCTTGCCCCGCTGAGCGCTTTGTGCCACCATGCTACGGATGCTAAACGTACACTCACAATCGTGGTGACGTGGCTCCGTGGCCGCCGCGGAGGAGCAGGAGGAGCCAGGAGGAGTAGAAACCTCGGAGCACTGGGGCTAGGGGCAAGTTTGTGTTGTTTCTTTTATTTGTTCTGTCATGCGACAGGGTCGAGGATCGCAGGAAGAGGAAGCTGAGGCGGATGAGGCGGCGGCGGAGGAGGAGGAGGAGGCTGAGGAGGAGGAGGAGGAGGCTGAGGAGGAGGAGGAGGAGGAGGAGGAGGCGGAGGCGGAGGAGGAGGAGGAGGAGGAGGAGGACGAGGAGGAGGAGGAGGAGGAGGAGGACGAGGAGGAGGAGGAGGAGGAGGAGGAGGAGGATGAGGATGAGGATGATGAGGAGGAGGAGAAGGAGGCGGAGGAGGAGGCGGAGGAGGAGGAGGAGGAGGAGGAGGACAAGGTAGGAGGAGGCGGAGGAGGAGGCGGAGGCGGCGGCGGAGGCGGCGGAGGAGGATCGGAGCCCCCGCCGAGCCCCCCCCGCCGCGCCGAGGCCCCGACGTGGCCGTTCGCGGGGGGCCCTCGCCGCCCGCCTTGGCGGCGCTGCTGGCGGCGCAGCCCCCGCGCGGCCGGCGGCGGCGCAGGCGCCCCGTCGGGGCCGTCGTCGTCGTCGTCGTCGTCGTCGTCGTCGTCGTCGTCGTCGTCGTCGTCGTCGTCGTCGTCGTGGTCCTCGCCGAGAGTCGTCTTCGCCGGGAGTCGTCGTCGCCGAGAGTCGTCGTCGCCGATGGTCGTCCTCGAGAGTCGTCGTAGTGAGCGTCGTCGCCGAGAGTCGTGGTCGCCGAGGGTCGTGGTGGCCGAGAGTCGTCGCCGTCGCCGTCGCCGTCGCCGTCGCCGTTCTGGTCGTCGTAGCGGTTGTTGTCGTTAGTGCCGAGGATTGTCGGCGGCTTCGCCGTCGTTGTCGTGGTTGCCGTCGGGAAGGGGGGTGAGGAGGAGAAGGGGGAGGAGGAGAAGGAGGAGGAGGAGGAGGCGAATGAGGATGAGGAGGAGGAGGAGGAGGTGTCGGATGAGGCGGAGGAGGAGGAGGAGGAGGAGGAGCATGATGATGATGAGGAGGAGGAGGAGGAGGAGTGCAGCGAGAAGGAGGACAAGGTAGAAGGATATTGAGCAGGGGGACGGTTATGAGGATGAGTGAGGAGGGAGACGAATAGGAAGAGTGCGGAGGAGGATGAGGAGGAGAAGGAGGGCGAGGAGCATGAGGAGTGCGGCGGAGGATGGAAAGAGACGATTCGGACTGTGACGAGGAGGGCAACGACGAGTGATGCTAGTGGTGGTGCTGCTGTTGCTGATGCTGATGTTCTTGCTGTTGCTGCTGCTGCTTCTGCTCCTGCTGCTGCTGGTGCTGCTGATGATGATGATGATGAGGCTGATGCTGATGACGATGATGATGCCGATGGCGATGGTGATGATGGTGATGATGCTGATCATGTTGCTGATGACAATGCGTATGTTGATGCTGTTGATGCTGCTGTTGATGATGGCACTGATGAGGATGACTACGACGATGCTGAAGATGATGCTGCTACGGCTGATGATGCTGATGATGATGCCGATGCTTGGTTTGATGGTCATGACGAGGATGCTGATTCGGATGCGGATGATAAGGGTAATGATGCTGCTGATGATGACGATGCTGCTGATGCTGATGTTGCTGCTGGTGGCGATGATGCTGCTGATAATGATGGTGATGATGATGCTGCTGATGCTGCTGACGCTGACGATGCTGAAGACGCTGATAATGCTGTTGACGATGCGGATGGGGAGGAGCTCCCTCCTCATAGGCCCCGACAAGGGTTCATTGCCACTGAAGGAAGTGTCCCGTTGGGAGACTAACGCGTGAAAATCCTGAAGCGCTCCCAAAAACCATCCTCAGGACTTCAACGCAGCTAGTCAACCTGACCGTTGCGTCTTGGCGATCCCGAATCGCTCCAGGGTGCCATTCGTGGGACTTCATCACCGCGAATCAGCGTAACTGGTGCGCCCTGGCAATCTTGAGTCGCTTAAGGAGACAATGTC